AGGACATTCGGATGGTAACGTCAGAATTTGGACGTAAACAACATGAAAGCATGGCTCCATCGGTTGAGGCTGGTGTTGGTGGTTCAATGGTGTGGGGGGATAATTTCCTGACACACTTTAAGTACTTTAGGGTGTTCCTCCATGCTGTCTCCATGCTAACACATTTGCCTTACATGCGAAAGACCTCTGATTTGATACCAGGAGATACAAATCCAGCCTCAGGTGGGGTTCACTAGCTAGTGCACTTCCTAGTGCGGCTCAAAAGTAAGGATAAACGGGATGGTTACATCAGGAAAACCATCAGGTGTAAAATCTGTACTGTTGGAGCAGCTGAAACTCTGGACCTACTTGTACCAATCAAATTGTTGAAATCCGGCCGTCACCTGAATGCTGTTGCTGATCATGCCTATCCCTCCATGACTGCAGAAACTGTTTCCTTGAACATAACATCGAGTCACCAGAACTCAGTCCGATAGAGATCTTTTGGGATGCCTCGTAGATTTGCTGTCATTTTCATGTCAACACAGACCAAAATATCTGAGGAATATTCGCAGCACCTTGTTGACTCCATGCTGTGAGAATGAAGGCAGTTATGAAGGCTTAACCTAGTACTAGCCAGGTGTAAACTCAGGCTCTTTGTCCCACAGTGTGACTTTGTCCTGTCTCCCTCCCCTCATCTCCAGCCTGTCAACTAGCCTGATTCTTCTGGAGGCTTCTTCCTGTTAAAAAGGGAGATTTTCCTTCCTGCTGTCTCCAAGTGCTTCCTCACAGTGGGAGTTTTTTCTGTTACTGTAGGGTCTTTACCTTACAATATAAAACACCTTGAGATGACTGTTGTTGGGATTTGGCACTGCATAAATAAAGCTGAATAGAATTATTACTAATAAGGTGTGCAATGACTGTCATTGTCATGATTTCACCCAGCTCGTTCTTATAGATGTTGCTGCGCTAACCACCAGCTGTTTATTACATCAATTGAGCTTTCCTATTGGTGGTGCAAGTATGACCACAGAAGGCTTATGAGGGCATGTAATTCTAGTGGGAGCTCCACGGGGAGCAGTTAGCCTCAGCAAGCCCACAGAACTCTGGACTAAGAGCACCTTTTCCTCACTAGATTTACTCTTCATAGCCTTTTAGGACCTTTTCCCCCCAAATAAATAGCACATAGCAAAAATATCAGTGGGCAGTACAGCAGGGCTCTTTCTGTACTGTACAGTAAGTAAGCCCCCAGACTTTTAGTATGAGCAAATATCAAAGCACAGCCATCATCTTGGATGATAACACGGTTTTAAAATCACAAGGCTTTCTAAAGCTTCAGATATTTTGTCGTATCTCCAGGAGCCCCAAAACAATGGACAGCTGCAGTCATTAGACTGACAGAAAACACAACTCTCAACTTGTTAATCTCAGTTTCCATTTCCAGTCCGGCAGCGCCTCCAACGCTTACCGATTTCCGTGTGGGAAGGAGATTTTTTTGTGTGTGTTTTTTTCTCCACTGAACCAATCACCAAAGACCAAACTATTCTCCTGGAATTTAACATCACTTTAAGTTAACACTGATGTCAACATAGCGTCGTGTCGGGGTTTTAAGAGACGAGCGTGTACAAACAGCTCAGGATCTTCCTCCGTTTGCCGTTCAGTCGCCGTGCCTCGGGGGTGCCAAAAACAAGCAAGCACCGACGGTTTAAAATATCCCTGTCGCAGCAGACAGCTTGATAATACTTGACAATGGATTTAAAGGTCTGGGTCCAGGCAAACAATCTCATCTAGCCCTACAGTAATTGCTAGTTGCCAAAAAAACAAAAAAAACAAGTGTTGTGTTTTGCCATCTCCACCTCTTCCGATTTCTCCTAAGTAAATAATACAAATAAATCCTCTCCTCCATTAACGCTAATGTACAAAATGAAAAGAAAATCACAGTCAGAGCTCTGGTCCCACTGTGCACTGTTTGTATGAGCGCAAAAATAAAGAAACAAAGAAAAGAAAATATAACTGTGACCTCTGCTGCTGTGCATGTAGTACGTGACCTTGAGCATTATTCAGGTTTGCAGTTTCAGTCTGACTACTACACCACAGGCAGTTGTGTAAGAGAATAAAGAGGTATTCATTTACTCAGTGATTCTGCTGTAGTGCTTCTCAAATAAGGGTCAATTAGTACAGCGTTTGGAGTCTTTATCGCTGGTTTTAACTTACCACCAGAGGGGTAGCTTTTACAGCACAAGTCCAGCATCTCTAGAGTCTAATTGATTTCTTGAAAGCCAGAAAGTTTGCACTTCATTTTTAATCCTGTTTCTAGCAGGGATGCACCGATATATCGGTATATTTATATAATCCTCGCTGACTGCAACTAGAAGATGTTTACCAGTGGCTCTGGTTTGTGTTAAAATGCCCTAAATTTGAATGCAAAATCACAAAAGATGTTGACAAATGCAACTCTCCGGAGAGTAGAGTAGTGTTTTTCCCCCCCCAATTGATACACCAGTAAAAGCCCTCGCTGTACATAATATGAGCCTGCATAAGCTAACCTATGAAGAAAATTGAGAGGCCTATATCTCCATTCATACGCCAACGAGAAATTGGATTCCTCCTGACTGGCAATTGTGTCCAAAAAGAAAGAAAAAGAAAAAGAAAATCAAATAAATGGAGCTGCCTAAGGAGAGAAATTCTCTTGCTGAAAAGCTACACAACATCAGTGGAGTTAAAAAAAAAAAACAGGGTGGGGATGGGGGCATCATAGAGATCCGACAAAATGAGAAGGGGGGAGCTTTCCAGCAAGGGCACTGAATTAACCCATATTAGTGTAATACAATGCAACAGGAAGAAATATGTGCCAGCACAAAGTGTTGGGCTCACACTGTGAGGAAAAAAGAAAAAAAAAGCACGATGGAGTGAGTCACTCAGCAGACAAAAGAGTGCATGAATTTGTCTCTCACGCCGCCTCTAATGAGTCAAGTCAGTGGTTTTCAAGGTGAAGGGTCGTGATCATTCCCGAGAAAAATAAAATAAAATGAAAGAAAATTGATTTAATTTCTAAGAGCTTAAGAAAAAGAGGGGAATGGGGGAAATAATAGCAGATAGCTGAGAGACAATTAAGAGCATAAGAAGTGACAGTGCAGCAGGGCTGTTTCTGTGTCCATCCCTCCCCACCTGGCGTCATCTCCCCGCGTTCCCTTACCCGAGGTAACCGATTCAATCAATACATCAGGCGGCAGCTCGAGTCAAGCTCCATTTTCCTACCGTGACTGCAGCTCAGGGAAAAGCAAGGGAACAATTATTTTATTTTCATACAGCTCCGTCCCGTCAGGTATCCCACCGGACGTCGGGTTCAGCCGCTGTTACGTTAAATGTAACCTAGTTTATATTCCGCAAGGAGCGACGTTTAGCTGAATCAAGACGGATGAGACACGTGGAAAAACAAAGTGCAAGTTGACATTGCGGTTTAGTCATAAAGCATCGGATGTCCCCTCCAGTTTCCCCTGGAGGAGGAAGGCAAAGTTTTTATTGTTGGTAGAGGAAAACTGACTGTGTGCGTTTCTGTGCACACGCTGTGCATATGTCTGCTTCTCGCCTGCTTGGGGGCATTTTCACCGATGGAGATTATATGACAGATGGTGCTGCAGTCCCCGGCATAATGAATGTAATTGTCAGATAAGGATACAGCCAACAACGGCGTTAATGACATCCTGAAAAGGAGTTTTTAGGAGGGCTGGGGTGGGGTGCGTGGAAGTTAGTCACAATTCTGAAGTACAAGAAGCCAAAAGCCTGGCTGAAAAACTCATGAAAGATCACCCCCACAGGCCACAGCTGTTATATTATTCAGCATCAAATAGAAGAAGTAGAAGAAGAAGGAAGGAAGAAAATCAAACCATATTCTAAATGATGAATTGGAAATGAAGGGCGTCACTGTGCAGCGATGAGAAAACTTCTGATCCGATTCAAAGCGATGGGCTTAGTTACCTTTTCCGCTTTGATTCTGATGTTGAAAGACAGTGTGCTGTCTTCACATCAAAGAATTCGGTGCAGTGCCCCCCCCCTCAACCTCAACCCTGCATTTCTCTCACACAGACGCCGGGCAACACGGCTTCCTTCAGCTCAGGACTCACCTTTCTCTCTTTTTACGTGCATGCATAAATTAATCCGTGCATTATTTGCGTGGTTGCTGCTGCTTTGTTTGGTTTTATTTCCCCGCGCTGCAGCACACGTTCAGCTGCAAACACTGACACTTTTAGAAAATGTAAACAAGTCATGCTGACTGAGAGTGGAGGTATATGAAGATCCCGCACAGCCTACGCCAATAAACTGCATATTTCGCTCTTGAGGCACAGTCTACCTATTATAAAATATTTAGACCACTCACACCACTGCATCTACCCTCACACAACACAGGCCTATTCGGGCATCTTTGAAAGACACACACACGCACAGTTCAGCCCTTGCAATCACGTCTCAGCTGCATCCCATTCAAACCACAGCGAGACATCCTCCTTAAATCATGAGGCAAAGAAACTAAGAAAAAGAAAACTTCATTCATAGGAATGCAGCGGATATGCAACTTATTTAAAAAGACATTTAACAAATGGGGGAAAGCACTACATGTCGTTTTAAGCGCCTTTTGATTGGTATGGAAATCAGCTCACTTTAACCCTCCAACAGGACGTTTAATAAGTCCAAAAATACACGAATAAATAAATAAATAAAACGGGGTGAAATTTCATATTTCCAAATTTCGATCTGACGGGCGCTGATTGCACCTGAACGCACCGATAGCCCGGCTAAAGTAATTAAAGAGTGGAGGGGACGCCGAGGTTGACATTATACATCACACAGAGCGTTTCTGCACCGCTGCAGGGGGGCGTCCATTCACGGGGATCATCATCATCACCATCACTCCCATCATCATCATCATCGCCCCGAAGCCCCCCAAATCTGAAGACAGCGGCGGGTATGCGCACAAACTGACGGCCAAATGCATTTTGAAGAAACACGAGCGTCACACTTACCGCGCATTTAGAAACGGCGGAGGAAATAGCACTCCGTCCTCAAAGTCAGCGTTAATTTCAAGTGTCTTTTCAGGTACAGTCCTTTACTGCACAGCGAGTGTGTGTTTGTGTGTGTGGGGGGAAAGAGAGAGACTTGATGGGGGTCGAAGAGAGAGAGGGAGAGAGGAGGGCAGCGATTCCAAAGTGTTGCCTCCTGTCGCTCCGTTCAATATCCCCGTAAAAATCGCCTCTATCTGCCGCTGCTGCTTCACTATCCAGTGATGAAACGGCGGCTTCCTCGCGTTGCATCCACGGTACACTGTCCCCTTAGATCCCTTTATGGCACAAGGCGTCCTTTCTGTGTGCGGGGAGGCTACATCACGTCCCGTAAAAAGCTTGAAAAACGCCAGCAGCCCCTCTCGCCACCATGCGCTCACGCACACCAACACACGATTTAAAATAGAAGAAAAAAAAGAGTATCCAGATGAATTTAAGTGGGGGGCAAATGAGGAGTGGGGACAAGAGGAGGTAGGGAAGGGAGGGTATCTTGTGAGAAAAGCTCCACGGAAGAGGTGAGGAGTGTGAAGAAGAAGAAAAAAGAAAAAGAAGCTAAGTTGTTTGGGTCCAGAAAAACTGAGCTCTCTGCGACTATGACAAACCAATTGCGCGCACTGGCTGGGAGTAATTCTGTACGGAGACCAAGGGGTTTTGGAGAGCCAGTGAAAGGTGAGAGGAAAAACTCGGATGTGGACTGCCGCTCTCGCCGTGTACTCGGGCTCCACCTAGCAGCAAACACGAGATAACATCCTGCAAAGCAAGGGGAAGAAGGAAAAAACCCTCCACCTATATCTCGCCTGAGGCTGGCAAGGAGTCCTATGTTATATTACATTCTGTGTGTGCGCCTGTGAATGCAATATTTATAAAGAAATCCTCTGCTTCTCTCTCAGAAGCTTCAGCGATTTTTAAGAATATAACTGGAGTAAGAAGTGTCCATCAAAAGCTTAATGGAGGGAAAGAAGGGGGGAGATTTCAAATTCAAATTTTATTTGTCACACACACACAACCATACACAGTATGACATGGGGGTGAAATGCTTGTAGCTGTACAATGTACAATTTTAGGTGATTATTAAGAAGAGTAATTCAGACGACTTAGCTGGAGGCTGGTACATATTTATCCCATGTAACTCCAGCTGTTCCCTTTACTTATATTATATAGCCAAGAGTATTCACTCCCCCATTGAAATCATTGAATTCAGGTGTTAGAATGTGCTTCAGCATACCAAGAAATTTTGGGCTATTTCAAAGTCCCTACTTTGTTAGAAAAGTTTGGAAATAGCCCCTTCCTGTTCCAACACGACTGTGCAAGAGTGCAAAAAGCGAGGCCCATAAAGACGTGGATGAACGAGTTTGGTGTGGAAGAAGTTCACTGGCCTGCACAGAGTACTGACCCCAACCCAACTGAACACCTTTGGGATGAATTAGAGCAAGACTGCAAGCCAGGCCTTCTCATCCAATACCAGTGTCTGACCTCACAAATGCGCTTGTAGAAGAATGGTCAAAAATTCTCATGAGCACACTCCTGAACCTTGTGGAAAATCTTCCCAGAAGTCTTGAAGCTGTTATAGCTGCAAAGGGTGGAAACATTATATTAAGTCCCGTGGATTAGGAATGGGATGTCGCTCAATTCATACGCATGTAAATGCAGACGAGGGAAAACCTTTGCCAGTATAATGCATTTTAAGCCTCAATCGAAGACAGTTTTACAAAATGTAACCCCGGGGTGGCAGATCGATGTAGAGATTAAAAAAACAAAACACTAAAATCTTTGATGACCTTTGAAAGCAGCCCCAGCTGCACCCCATCTCCAGCTGGAGCCAGCCAGCCACTCGCCCTCTCAATCATCCTATAGCCAATTAATCACTTTAATAATCCTAATTACAATCAAACAATAAGTAATCATCCAATCACTCACCCAGTGCTCCGCTAATGAGCCCATGCAAACACAGAGCTCGTAAAGCACATTTTTGCACTTGTTTCCCGTCTGAAGAACACCTTGAATTCCTCAACACGCTGATGAAAAATAACCGGACGGCCGCTGTTGCAAAGATGCAGCGTTATCTCTGCCTGGCACTGCTTTCTATGCGCTCCCAGCGCAAATGGATTTCTTCAGGTAGAGGACTGACCAAAGCTCCCCGACATTACACTTGCATAAAAACCCAGGTAGCTTCAAAGTGACAGCTTAAGTGCCATGCAATACCAGTGCACATTAAAAGCCTACACTTTAGCAGTGGAGCGAACACCACAGCAATACTGGGAGAACCAGTTTCCTGCGGATTAAAAGAATACAGGCCCGATTCAGATCAGATCCTTTTTGTTTGACTTCCAGATAACACACACTTCAGGAGTTAAGTATAAACAGTTTTATCCCAGCACTGGGACAGAACGGCATTTCAAACACATGGAAATGAAGGCAAAGTTAGACTTATTTCTAGTGTTATTGAAGAAACGCGAAATCATGAAAGTGATAAGAAATGTTCACGGACAGCATGAATGTAGCAGTCTCCTTTGTTGAATTTTGAAAAGCGAAATGAAAAATAAAATCTGTGCCAATAAAAGTTTGACAAAAAAAGAGTATTCAAGAATTAATGGTATTTTTATTGGATTCTTGTCAGTATTCAGAAATGTTCTCTTGTGTAGCAAAGAAAAAAAGTCAGATCAGACAATGACAGTAATGGACAATAAACAGCAAACTGACAAACATGTCAAGTAGTCATCCACACGTTTAAAAATACCTTCTGTTTCTTCACATTCACTCTCATTTGTAGCAAGTGTATCAGCTCAGTCCTTACTTTGTACTGAAAGAGATTTCTTTATGCAAATTCTATGTTAAATTATCCTCAATACAGAGATAACATTATGCTGTTGATAAAAACATTTCATTTCAGCCAAAGCATCCTTCAAGGAATTTTTTTTTATTATTTTTTTAAGCACGCACATTTATTTTCATATTCCTCTTCGAAAATGCTAAATTAGAATGGGTTTAAATTTGGAGGTGAAGTGCTTTTATTAAATCAAACTCAACACTGCGTAAACATGGTTATCATGGTCCAGATATCAACGGCTGAAATCATCTAATCATAAACTGAACATCTTTCGCATAAGGTGGGCCCTGGGCAATTTTACAACTTTAAAGCCGCTGTGATCATTATTTTTATATTAAGAACTGATCGCACAGCTGCTTGCAAATGCGAGGGGTCGCTTGTAGAGATGAACCCGCGAAGAAACACGGCTAAGATCATCAGATGCGTGCAGCTCTGTGAAGCCTTGGAGTTTCAGCCCATAACCTTACTGTTTTGGTTCACTCTCACAGCTCTCATCAGCCTTGTTTTCAGACACAGCAGAAAGCAATTTCAGTATAAAGGTTTGGATAAAGGAAAAAACTCAACAAAAAAGGTCTGTACAGCAGCTTCCCAGTGCAAAACAAAGGACCGATATATGGAGCATTTAGCTGCTAAAGAGAGAGTGAATATTGGGCAGGTTGCTAGCGTTGCATTATGCTAATTTAAGGCAATATAATAGTTTTATATCAGTGTTTTTGCTCCTAATTCATTCCATCATAACCCATGCCCAAAAAGTCAGTAACTACTGGACAAAAGAAAAAAGATAACCTTCAGGGCTAAAGAAAAATACTAATGCATGGGAGCCAACAACTGAAGTTGTTTACCCGAGGCTAGTTTCAAAACCTTAGCTTATCAGAAATAAACACGTTTACAACCTGGTGCAGGAAAATGTTTTGGTGTCTTTGGCTAATAACCTGCTGCATGACAGCTACACAGGGTAAATAAATGTATAACTAACTCCTTTAATTTGTAATAAGTTTGTATTAATCAAGAAAGTGGTATATGTTTTTAAATAAGCAGATGCTAATTTGGTTGCTAGGTGTATGTTAGCTAATTCAGCTAATTCATCCCTGGACTGGACCTCAAGACCATTTTTTGTGTACTTTGTCGCTTTTTAGAGAAATTTAAAGACAATTATCTAACTAGACACATCTTTTTTTTTATTTTGCACTTTTATTTAAATATGCCACAAAACAAAGACTATGAAATGTAAATGGGTAAAATATTCAGGAGGAAATGGAGTATGTAGCAAACAGTTTTTCCCCCCGACTGGCTCATTTCAATATCTATTTCCTTGTAAACAGCAACATTTCAGTTCTATCACACTGTGTTATTGTATAATTGTGTGTCTAACATGCTAATGCTAAATATCCATCTGCCAACAGATTTGCTAAATACAGAGAGTTAAGCACCTGAGACACAATCATAATTGAACACCATAAAGTGACGCATGGCACTATAAAAACCTCTGTACAGCTACTCACCATGCTGTTGTAAGAAACTCTTGCCAAATACAAAGCTGTTCAGGAAAATTAAGGCTTATGGGGACAGTTGTTGTGCAAAGTGAATCCAGTAATGAAGAAGCCATTTTGCCCGTTTAACCATGCTACCATGCCTAGGAATTATCTTCTTCACTACACTCAGACAGCTTATACAGTGTTACTCAGCTGTTTGTGGGGAAGCACATAGAGGTTGGAAAAGTACTATTTGCGTTGTTGTAAAAACACATACATACACACACAGAAAAATGTGGTTGAACATACAAGTTGGCCGCATATAGTTAGTCCCGTGATGAGATAAGAGCACCAAATGATTGAATAGTTTGTAGCAGCATCCTTAGCAGCGATAGCTTGAAGTAATGGTTTTCTGTAAGACTCTACCAGCCTCTCACATGCTGCTGTTGTTAGCTGTTGGATAGATGGCCTCACATTTGACTGTATACTTTGGTATATGCAGAGGAGTTCACATTCAACTACATGACAGGAAGGTGTTCAGATCCTGTGGATTAAAAAAAAAGCCCCGAATCACCACCCCTCCACCACCGTGCTTGACAGTTGGTAAGAGGTGTTTGTAATGATATGCTCTGTTTGGTTTTTGCCTAACGTTGAGTTGTGCATTATGGTCAAACACCTCCACTTTGTTCTCATCTGTACAAATCTTGTGGTTTGTTCAGATGCAAGTTGGCAAATCTAAGCCGTGCTGCTATGTTCTTTTTAAGGACTCTTTGGTTTCACCTGACAAACCTTTCAAACAAGCCAGACTTAGTCTTTTTCTAATTGTAATGTCACAAACTTTGACTTCCATGACCGATGCCTGTAGAGTATGAGATGTAGCTCTTGGGTTTGTTTGTTTTTTTGCAGTTTCTCTGAGCATTGCAAAGTCTGACCTTGGGGTGAATTTGCTGGGGCATCCACTCTTGTGAAAATTGTGATTATGATCCAGACCATCAAACTGTCAAAACCTCTGCTTTTATAGAGGTGCTCACACTTGCTGATGATGAGTTAATCAAGTGTAAATGATTATCAGCACCAGACTTACTCTCTTACATAGAGTGCATAGAGTCCTGTGAAAAATCTCATATTCACACGACTGGTAAAATGACCAACATGACAATCGTTCCATTGAGTGGCACTGACTTCCAAAATTACATATGAGCGTATTTTAAACTAATGTCCACATATTACATGATTGCCTAAATCAAAGCATGTGATTTCACAGCGCACAACTTTAGTCCTCTATGACTGATAAATGATTGATGATTTATGATCTATGAATTCATTAAGGTTACACACAATTAAAGTAA